GACGGCACTTGAACATGGACCACAGGTTATAGCAAAAGAAACAATACATGTAATAGGGAGGAAAATTAATGGCTCTACCTTGGTTGAGCAAATCGATGTCTACATCTGGGGGATTTGCTAGGGGCTTTGGGGTTGGTTGCTTCTTCAATGGTGCCATATCTGAAAATATTACAAAGGCGATCAACATTAGGCATAAAAGACAATTTTCCAATATGTGCAGCGTGCGTGACGTGTTGACTTCATAAGACAGTCATTGCTCTCAAACAAGGTTGATGTGTTCGGGAATTTTTCTTACCATCTTTGCTGTCACTCCCCACCTCTGACGGGGAAGACGACTGATATCCAGCAGGTCGCTTTCGTCGACGGGGCTCATCATCGCTGTCCACCGATTCGACAGTTGACGTATCCTCTGCGATTTTTGCATTATGGAGTGCCTTTTCATATGAATCTGTAAAATAATTTGCAACACATTACACAGTGTTGCAAATGACATCATAAAAATGTACATCAGACAAAATGTACATGAACTGTACATCGAATGCTCAATTCATTGCGTGTTCAACTTTACTTATGCTTAGATTCGAGCACACTTCACCCGTATAAATTTAGTGAAAGAGAATGGCTGCATACCTTGCCCTCATTTCACCGTGTAATTATTTGATCATGATAAAACACAATTCCTCCTTACTTTGGATTGAATTATAATTTTGCAAAAGGGGCATTTACCAGTATAAATGAACACCCGTATCTCGTAGCTGCTCACTTTTCTTCATCTGGAATCTCCCTTTTACGAACCCTTGTTGAGACACTCTTTTTGGGCCAGAAACACCTCAATGGTTCCTTGATAAAAAAAAAAAAGACGAAAAATCACCATCGCATCATGATACATCAGGCCTGTAGATTGTAAAGACAAAATGAACAGAGTCTATCTGTGACAGTAATTTAAAAAATTGCTGTGCATCTGGGAATCGTCTATTTTAAATCTATTGAAACGTAATGCAGTAATTGCTAATGCACTAACACTTATGAAGGACACAATGTTTAGCTACTGGCCCCTTGTTTTTCCTTATCCAAGATTTATGGACAACTTCCACCGACCCTTCCTGAAGAAATTCCACGACAGCAAAGGTAGTCATAGCACAAAAGTTACAACGAATTGAGTCGAAACTGCCCTCTACACAATACACCTGTTGAGTCGAACAGGTCAAATATGGGTTAGAAATGCAACAGTTCATGCAAGGAGAGTGACCTAACTTAACCTTTCCGTACTTTCCACGTACTTTCCACATCCTCGTTAATACGCCAACACTGATAAAAATTTATCAGTCATGGATACTGGGAAAGGGGTCAAACTGCCCTACTCTTGGATTGTTTGTAAGTATCAACGGTATAATGT